GTTGTTAAATAACAAAGTTACAATAGACCTCGTCAACTAGAAATATATAGTTCATTAACACAATAATTTGAGTGATTTTTGTCTGATTTTGATGAAATTCATCTTGAATATATATTATGGCAGAATAAACTTCAATGAGTTCACAAACCCGCATGATCGGTTTATGGAAACGAGGTTTCATGAGGTAAAATTGTTTTTTTTTCATTTTTAGCCCAAAACATAAAATGTTCCTATTTGTCACCATTTTAAAAAGCTTTTAAACAAATAATTTTGAAGTGTTTTTTTTTCGGTTGTTGGTTACTGAGAAAATTTTACAGTGCTTATTTAAGGATATGTTTTAATCAAACAATTTTTTTTTTAATAAGCCATTATAGTTATAAAAAAATACCTCGCCACAGCAAACCTGCAGACTAAGCGATTTTCCTTTTGCCTGATTGGATTTACACTAAAATGTCTCCTTAAAAATATCACATTATTCCCCATTTAAATAGAATTAGTTTAACAAGTACTTAGTTTTGCTGCAACAGGGAGGGTAAAACATAAAGCCATTACACAAGATACTTTTTGATTTGACATTTTGACATCTTTGATTTTGTGTCATTTTAAAGAGCCCACTTTGAAAATGTGTGTCGTATTGTAAAATGAGCTTAAGAGCTTCGCATTTACAGTTATGGGAAACATCAATTTCTCAGTAGTAACCAACCAAAAGAATTTCAATCGAAACTCGAAGCAAATGAAATTGTGACAGACAGTTGGTGTGACAGTTGGCGTGGCAGTTGGTAGGATATCAAGTAGTACTTGAGTAAAGTTAACAATTTGTATCGCTTTTTTTTAAATGACTGCAATTTGTAATAAGTATAACTATATGTGGCAATGGGTAAGAAGGGAATCATTTTTTGAAAACACTAAAAACAAGGTCAGCTTCTGGAATAGGATAAAATATTTACAAGACGTGTTTGTTATAACTGTTGTTAACAGAGTGAGTTTCCATTATTTGCTTACGCTTTTAGTTGGGTCTTTTAAACTCATAGAAAATTATGACTACTAGTTTTAATATAACTTCTGTAATACCGGTACTACACAATTGCTCAATTTCGAAACACAGGTGCACTAGTTTTGTTTTATATTTTTAATTTGTTATAAGATGCTGACAATAATACATACACACAGTTATACATGGTTAAATGGTACATACTGAATTCAAAATGATTTTACTTGCTAGTATCGGTGAAAAAAATATCTGCATCAGCTTTGGTAAAAAACTTGAGAAATCGCTACTGGCACATGCTACTTTAACTTCATTTTTTTTAACTCATTCGGAAGTAGCTTCTTTTTATGGATTATTTCGGTTGATTGGCTTTTAGATACGCTTCATTGCTCTTTATAATTTCAGAGATCTATTGTTCAAGCCGTAAATGTGCAAATAACCTAATGGATTATAACCCACTCTACGGGACCCGGATTAGTGTAGGTAGCAATTGCGCAACTAACCTATCCTCGTGTGTCAGTCTGAAACAGGTCAAACCCCTCCAAACCAGTTCCCACCCCACCCTCCCCAAGCCAGCATTCAGTCAACACAATTACATCTATACTGTGAATAAATAAACTTAAGTAGAATTCATCAAAATTTTTATTATAACTTCTCCTCACCAGGATTATTGCTGTAAACATCTGAGAATTGAGTGATCTGTATTATTAATACGCTACATGAAACATTGTGAACAATAAGGCTTTTTTGTTTTAAGATTCAACCCCACATATTATATACCAAAATGTTCGTCTAAGTGTGTAAATTTGCAAACTGACCTTACATTTTTCAAAAAGCCTCTCCAAGTTAAGAATACTGTTAGTTAAAATGGGTCAAAGTTCATCTACAGATATTTACGCATTTGTTAACGATTGTGTTTGCAGGCAGCGGAAATAAGCGAGAGAGACAAGCAATTGGCCAGAGAATTATGGCAACTAGTGGAAAAGGACTACGCAGCTGTAGGCAACATTCTGTTCAGAGAGTGAGTATCTTAAAATATCAGAACAAAGATGGAAAACATCTTGAATTTGAGGTTGTTTGATATTTTAATTATCTATTTCACAAAGTCACAACCTCAATTGTGGAGGTTATGTGAATGATAACTAAATTAAACTTAAGGGAAAGCAACTTCGTAGGATTCAAAGCAACAATAATGGTGGATTTCTGATTACATTGACAAAACTGCTGCACCAAAAATACAAATTGCAACTTTTACTCCGCCACCTGAGCCCAGGGGTGTAAGTAGTTTAAGGTTTTTGGAGGCACAAGAAAAAAAAGATTTCCCCCAAAAGGCAGGTGGATGGGTAATAATCTTTCATAGCACATCACACAAACTAGGCTTGGTTAAAAACACAGACAAGTTCACAACCCAATAGACTTGATATTTTGCACCTGCAAGGGTCACTTCTTTCTTTTAAAGAAGCCCCATATGAAATATCCCTAACAATGGGATTGCAGGGGCAAAATAGTTTATTATGTTGTGCCCTTTTTGTGCTTCAACTTCCTGGAGCTCTTATCTCAGATAAGTTAGTTGTGCATCCATCCCTTCTCCCTTAATGTAAATTTCACTTTTTTATTTAATTACATTTTTGGCTTAAGAACATTTTAGTCTAAAATCTAAAGTTTCACTGGTCTGGAGTCAGTTAGTATTGTATTATTACACAATTACTGTATTTTGAAACATTGTGCTATCAAGAGTCAGTACAAAACTTAAATTAAGTTATGTCAGTATTATTATTATCATCATCCATTAAGATCGTAACTGGGCTTGAAAGCTAAAGATAAAGGTAGAATGGAGTGAGATGCCACATGTAGCTGTTATTGACTATATTTCGTTCTCAATATTTAGGCGGTTTGGGGGAAGTGCCCCCACTCCTTTTTGTATTTAATGTTTGTTGCATAATCAACTATTGAGCTATTATTTTAAAGGTAATGGGCAGTTGGAGAGGATAGATTTCTTCCCCTAAAACCGCCTAAATATTGTGAACAAAGTATAAGACCAGCTGTTTCTTTACTCTTTAGCCAGCAAGATTTATTAAAAATCCCATGATCAAGGACAGCTGGGCCCAGTTTTAAACCATCAAATCTGTTTGAAATCTCAGGATCACACTGGTGACCTTTTGTTTTATTAGATGTGCCTGAGTTACCGTAGATTGTTCATAAACATATTGAGGACGAGATGTGTAAACTTCCGTAAAACATTGAAAAGTGATGTAAACCTCATTTTAAGTGTTAAGAATATTATCTTGTTACAGACTATTCACAGCGTACCCCGACTACATAAAATACTTTGAAAGAATGAAAGCCTCTCCGGACCAAGATATTTTCGAGTCTGCAAGATTTAAGAAACACATGGTCTCAGCTTTGTTTCCATCTATTGCTTTACTACTGAAGAATCTCGATGATCCTGAAAAGCTTGCGGAACAGTTGAAGGTTATAGGAGTGAACCACAAGAAAAGAAATCTTCACAGAGCACAGTTTGAGGTAAATCTATGATGTGTCAATTATTTTAATCATGAGCATTACCAATTCCCTTTATTCAGTGATTTGAATATGCATATTTTGATCAAAATATAACCAACAAGCAAATTACAAGTTTATTTATTCTCCAAAAAAATAACATAAGAATTTAAATTTATATTTTTTTTTCTGTAGTTGTTAGGCGTACAACAATGCTTCAAGTTAGTAAACTATTTTGATGTTTAAGCTCTATAAAATGGTTTAGGGAGGAATTAAAAAATGTTATGTTTTGTGGGTCAAATATTGAAAAAAATAATGTTTACTCTGTAAAACCGTCTATAAAATCCCGTTTTCATAGTCCGATCATGCTGGTTCACCAACTTGTTTCGATAAATGTAGGTTTACACGTTTGTACCATATTTCTTCAAAAAGGATGATTATACTCTTGAGTTTACTCGCATAGATAGTTTAATTAGAGGTTATGCTCGTACTGTATCCAATCCAATATGACTAATGACTACCTTTGTGTTTCAGGCTCTTCACAAAATAATAATCGACACATTCAAGAAAACGTTGCCCGAACAGTTCACATCGGAAGTAGAATCAGCTTGGAACAAGATCTTAGGTGTTGCGTTTGATAAGATCTCTTCTCACTTGGATAACCAATGTTAAAAACTTTCGAAACTCTGTGTTTGAACGTTTTTATGTCATAAGAAAGAAAGTGTTCTTTGCTTGTGGAACCATGAAATTATTAATTATAAAATTATTTATAGGTTTAAGTATTTTATTTTTGTATCAGAAATTTATATTGTGACAACTTGTGAGTTTATAAATGTACAAATGTGTTTTGTATACAATAGGTATTAATTTATCTTATTGTTTATGTAGAGGTCCAATTCAGCCAGACAACAGATTAATTATTCAATTGTGAAAAAAAATGAATATTTTAAAATCGTTCTCCCTCAAAATACATAATGTGAACCATGTGTTTACAATAATTATTTTCTTTTGGGGATTATACATTTAGCTTTTAGTAGTTTTATCAGGATGTAATGAAAAATCCATTTTGAAAATTCTGTTATCAATTATATTCAAGCATCTAGTATTCAGACTTTAACTTATTGTTAGTAAGACATTTACATTATGAAAATATCATTAAAAGCAACCAAACACCTCAGCCAATCTGTACTGTAATTATTATAAGTTATTAAAGTTTTTAATATTTTAATGTTTCAAATTGTGTGTTTATTTACCAATTTTTTTTTTATCGTTCTTTAAAAACTTAAAGGCCACCACTTTTTAAGAGATAAGTAATAACGATGATGATGATCTGTCAGTAAAATTAAAGAATAACCGTCAAGATTTCTTATTCCATTATGAAATGAAAAACATATAAAACAGTTACGATTGGCGAGATATTTTATACTACAATATTCCTTTGTTTTTCAAAAATACACATAACCATTTTGCTGCACAGATTAAAATCTAAAGGATTAGACAAGGATTATACATAATTTAACCCAATAGCTTGACTACAAATTATTTATTTTAAAGCGACAATTAAAAGCATTAAATTATATAAAGTACATAGATAAAATTCACTTGATATCATATAACGCCATAAAACATTTCCCAAAATGTATTTAATTTTCTTAACCATGCAATGCCTGCTGGAATAAACATATTAGCACAATAACTGGTATATGGTATATGACAATATAATTGTTGGGACTTAGTCAAAACTAATGAGTTCAGCCGTTTGTTGCTCTTGTGGTTGGGGAATTTGTGACTGAGGTTGTGAAATTTGAGGTTGAGGCTGTTGATGTTGGTAGCCCTGAGATGGGGCACCAGGGAGCATTGGAGGTCCTGACTGTGGAACCATTTGAGGGATTTGGTTGGGAGGCATGCCAGGCCCTTGATTTGGCAGTCCCATATTACCTATTTGTGGGGGAATTCCTTGAGGCTGAGAGGGAATTTGTCCCTGTTGAGGGGGTATTTGACCTTGATGAGGCATTTGACCTTGAGGAGGTATTTGACCTTGATTAGGCATTTGACCTTGCTGGGGATGAATCTGTCCCTGCTGTTGAGGGAGTTGTCCCTGTTGTTGGGGAATTTGTCCCTGCTGTTGGGGGATTTGTCCCTGCTGTTGGGGAAATTGTCCCTGCTGTGGGATTTGCCCACCTTGCTGAGGATGAGGTGGCATCTGACCTTGTAGATGGACCGGAGACGATCCCATGTGAGTAGGCAGAGAAGCAGGGCCCATTGACGGGGGTCCCATCATCTGGGGGCCCACCATACCATGTGGGGGGCCCATGTACCCTGGCATCATCATTCCCGGCATACCTGTCGAAAACACAAATTGTTAATGGAAAATATATTCTTAAAAATTACAACCAGATTTGTTACAAAAAATTTCTATACAGTCTTAATATCCTAAAACACATTTTAAATACGAGGCATGCTTTTTAAGTAAGTACCGTTTTTAAATTACTCCGTTCCAGCGCTGTTATTGACATTTTGGACATTTGCGCTGTGTATGTGCATCTATAGGCGAGCCTACGCCATAAATTCGGCAACAATTGGTATTGAGACTGCCATCAACTGTGAAGTGCGCGCTCTAATTAGAAGTGTTACAGGTGTGAAAGCCATTGAAATTCATCGTTAGATTCGTGAAGTGTATGGCGAGAACATTATGAGTGGTAGGAAAGTGGGTAAGGGCATTTAAAGACAGCCGTACCAATGTTCATGATGAGCAACGCACGCACTGGGTGGCCATCTGTCATCACTGATGAATTGGTGAGTAAAGTTGATGAAAAAGTGAGAGAGAACAGATGGTTTACGATCTCATCATTATTCTATGAGTTTCCTTTACTCATTATGTTCTCGCCATACACTTCAATAATCTGTCAATGAATTCCAATGGCTTTCTCACTTTTAGCACTTAAAAATCTAATTACGTCGCGCACTTCACAGTCGGTGGCAGGCTCAATTGGCGGCACCATTTTCAATGCTCTAAACTGGATGTAAACACAGCCGTTTGTTGCCGAATTTCTGGCGCAGGCTTGCCAATAGATGCACATACACAGCCCAAATGTCCAAAATGTCAATCACAGCGCTGGAACGGAGAAATTTAAAACACTTTTAACACTTAATTAAAGTATTTTACCTTAGAAATGTATTTGATAAGTGTTTAACATTTATCACATTAATGATTAATTTTATGTCAAGCACATTTTCCAGTTCTTTAAATACTCAAAAAAAGGCCACCTTTGGACAATTAATCTTAGAGAACAAAACAAAAATGATAGTAAAGAAAGTAAATGCATTCAAACAAAATCGCACAAGTAGTAAAAGCTAAAAGTAGTTTAAGGTATGTTTTATGGCATATGAACATTAGTAAGTAGCACAAAGCCTACTAGGCAAAAACTTGAAGAAACACCAAAAATTATGGATATAAATGAAATAAAACAGCAAAAAGAAGACAGAGCTTTTGAAAGTGAATGATTTCAATCAATAGTACCGGTACCAGTAGTACCTGGGGACCGAGCTTTGGCTCGGTAGTTTATTTCCATTGTACCCCTATATCGAGTAATTTGTAGTGTAATCGTAATCTTTTCTCAATCATGACAACTGATGTTTTTCTTCCTTTGTATTGTATTTTGTAATCTAATATACTGTGGATGGCTTGTTATAAACACATGTTACAAGTCTTGTTACACATTCACTTTTTCCTTGTTCTTTTGTTCAACCAACGTAATATTAATTTACTATTAAATCCTAATTCACTTGGCCAATATAAAAAAATGTTGACTTTAAATTTTTTTACATAACTTAATTAGATTTTAGTTGACTGTTTTAACTGCATTAAACATGTTTTTAGGCCAGAAATAATTTATTTACAACATTTGAAGGTAATCGAAGCTGTTTTCGAGATCTTTTTGCAAGCAAGCATACATACAAGCAAACATTGTTCACATAAGAGTATAGGATAAATGTGTAATGTTGGAAATGAAAGATCTATCGATTCACAATCTTTGGGAAATTACTGCATCTTTGAACAGGTGAAAACACTGAAAAACAGTTTTGATGTGATGCAACTATCCATATTGGAGACAAAGTACAATTAGACATGTTGCAGCTTACTCTGGTATTGCTGCAATGCATCCATAACATCGGCCACTACTTTCACCAGTTCAAAGAAGCAGTTATCTGTTGCAGATAGCCTACTTTAGCCCTGAGAGCCCTAGTCCAAGCTATATTTCCTATGATAGTTTTGTAAAAGTGTGTTTACCTTGAGCTGGGGCAGGAGTGTAGTGAGGGTGAGAGTAGCCAGCAGGTACAGGACCTCCCATCACATAACCTCCGGGAGGCAGACTTTCGTAACCTCCTGGAACATAAGGATCAGCTCAGCAACTAGTACTGTGTTATTTATAGTTTTGATTTAAACTTAATTCAGTTATATATGAAAATCTACTTACCTACATGGCATATGTAAGTAGATTTTAATAATTGAATATAAAAGGTGTCAAAGCTGTTAAATTTGAAATCAACTTAAAGATAAGAGAAGCTGCTTTCCCCAGTGAATATTTTTATTTTTAAGGATACCAAAATCATCAGATTTTTTATTAAGATACACCTAGGGCCTTACAGTGGAGAGGATTAGAAAATTTAGAGCCTCTCAACCATTGGCTTTGAATACTGGTGTAAAAAAATAAACTACATGGAACAGCTGTCACAACTTTTTTACAGTCAAACAACCAAAAGGAGCTTTGCAGAAGAGGTGAAAACACTGTTCTGTCCTCAAAGTAAACGGTGAGTCTTCTTTATAGGCCTACTCATCCACTCACATGGCACTAATCGACTTAGTAGGGACATATACACAGAAAGTTACTGTCCGTGGTGTGAGAAGGGTCAGGTCTCAGGTTGTTGGTGGTTCGGTGGCAAAACCTATGTTTTGGAAAGGCGTTATTTCCTACCATAATCGACCCATTCCTCTATCGCATTGCAGCAGGCACTAGTGAATCTTTAGGGGTTGTTTGACTGTACTTAAAGAGAACTTAGTTGAATAAACCGCTCGAGAGTACTCTACTGTAAAAAAATTGTTTCTATTACTTCTCGGTTCTCGATAATTTAATAATTTATATGGATTATACGACATATTGTATAGCTTACACTTACATTCTTTTTCATTTTAGCTTTGTTAAAAAGGTGTATACCTGGTGGCATGTAGCCCAGCCCTGCGTACTGGGACGACATGAGGTATTGTTGTTTCTGCTGCTCCTGTCTCAGCTGCATCTCCCGCTCCTGCTCCTGGATACGCTGGAGAGTGAGTTGTCGTTGGTACTGTAACAACAAACACAAGTCAGAGTGATGCTAAGTAAGGCTGGTTGTTTTTCAAAATGTATACGCTGGAGAGTGAGATGTCCTTGATACTGCAACAACAAACACAAGTCAGATTGATGCTAAGTAAGGCTGATTGTTTTTCAAAATGTATACGCTGGAGAGTGAGTTGTCATTGGTACTGCAACAACAAACACAAGTCAGAGTGATGCTAAGTAAGGCTGATTGTTTTTCTAAATGTATATGCTGGAGAGTGAGATGTCATTGGTACTGCAACAACAAACACAAGTCAGATTGATGCTAAGTAAGGCTGATTGTTTTTCAAAATGTATACGCTGGAGAGTGAGATGTCATTGGTACTGTAACAACAAACACAAGTCAGATTGATGCTAAGTAAGGCTGATTGTTTTTCAAAATGTATACGCTGGAGAGTGAGATGTCATTGGTATTGTAACAACAAACACAAGTCAGATTGATGCTAAGTAAGGCTGATTGTTTTTCAAAATGTATACGCTGGAGAGTGAGATTTCATTGGTACTGTAACAACAAACACAAGTCAGATTGATGCTAAGTAAGGCTGATTGTTTTTCAAAATGTATACGCTGGAGAGTGAGATGTCATTGGTACTGCAACAACAAACACAAGTCAGATTGATGCTATGTAAGGCTGATTGTTTTTCAAAATGTATACGCTGGAGAGTGAGATGTCATTGGTACTGTAACAACAAACACAAGTCAGATTGATGCTAAGTAAGGCTGATTGTTTTTCAAAATGTATACGCTGGAGAGTGAGATGTCATTGGTACTGCAACAACAAACACAAGTCAGATTGATGCTATGTAAGGCTGATTGTTTTTCAAAATGTATACGCTGGAGAGTGAGATGTCATTGGTACTGTAACAACAAACACAAGTCAGAGTGATGCTAAGTAAGGCTGATTGTTTTTCAAAATGTATACGCTGGAGAAGAGTTTTCATTGGTACTGCAACAACAAACACAAGTCAGAGTGATGCTAAGTAAGGCTGGTTGTTTTTCAAAATGTATATGCTGGAGAGTGAGATGTCGTTGATACTGCAACAACAAACACAAGTCAGATTGATGCTAAGTAAGGCTGATTGTTTTTAAAAATGTATACGCTGGAGAGTGAGTTGTCATTGGTACTGCAACAACAAACACAAGTCAGATTGATGCTAAGTAAGGCTGATTGTTTTTCAAAATGTATACGCTGGAGAGTGAGATGTCATTGGTACTGCAACAACAAACACAAGTCAGATTGATGCTATGTAAGGCTGATTGTTTTTCAAAATGTATACGCTGGAGAGTGAGATGTCATTGGTACTGTAACAACAAACACAAGTCAGAGTGATGCTAAGTAAGGCTGATTGTTTTTCAAAATGTATACGCTGGAGAGTGAGTTGTCATTGGTACTGCAACAACAAACACAAGTCAGAGTGATGCTAAGTAAGGCTGGTTGTTTTTCAAAATGTATATGCTGGAGAGTGAGATGTCGTTGATACTGCAACAACAAACACAAGTCAGATTGATGCTAAGTAAGGCTGATTGTTTTTCAAAATGTATACGCTGGAGAGTGAGTTGTCATTGGTACTGCAACAACAAACACAAGTCAGATTGATGCTAAGTAAGGCTGATTGTTTTTCAAAATGTATACGCTGGAGAGTGAGTTGTCATTGGTACTGCAACAACAAACACAAGTCAGAGTGATGCTAAGTAAGGCTGGTTGTTTTTCAAAATGTATATGCTGGAGAGTGAGATGTCATTGATACTGCAACAACAAACACAAGTCAGATTGATGCTAAGTAAGGCTGATTGTTTTTTCAAAATGTATACGCTGGAGAGTGAGTTGTCATTGGTACTGTAACAACAAACACAAGTCAGAGTGATGCTAAGTAAGGCTGGTTGTTTTTCAAAATGTATATGCTGGAGAGTGAGATGTCATTGATACTGCAACAACAAACACAAGTCAGATTGATGCTAAGTAAGGCTGATTGTTTTTTCAAAATGTATACGCTGGAGAGTGAGTTGTCATTGGTACTGTAACAACAAACACAAGTCAGAGTGATGCTAAGTAAGGCTGGTTGTTTTTCAAAATGTATACGCTGGAGAGTGAGTTGTCATTGGTACTGCAACAACAAACACAAGTCAGATTGATGCTAAGTAAGGCTGATTGTTTTTCAAAATGTATACGCTGGAGAGTGAGTTGTCATTGGTACTGCAACAACAAACACAAGTCAGATTGATGCTAAAGGCTGATTGTTTTTCAAAATGTATACGCTGGAGAGTGAGTTGTCATTGGTACTGCAACAACAAACACAAGTCAGGGTGATGCTAAAGGCTGATTGTTTTTCAAAATGTATACGCTGGAGAGTGAGATGTCGTTGGTACTGCAACAACAATCACAAGTCAGAGTGATGCTAAGTAAGGCTGATTGTTTTTCAAAATGTATACGCTGAAGAGTGAGTTGTCGTTGATACTGCAACAACAAACACAAGTCAGAGTGATGCTAAGTAAGGCTGATTGTTTTTCTAAATGTATACGCTGGAGAGTGAGATGTCATTGGTACTGCAACAACAAACACAAGTCAGATTGATGCTAAGTAAGGCTGATTGTTTTTCAAAATGTATACGCTGGAGAGTGAGATGTCATTGGTACTGTAACAACAAACACAAGTCAGATTGATGCTAAGTAAGGCTGATTGTTTTTCAAAATGTATACGCTGGAGAGTGAGATGTCATTGGTACTGTAACAACAAACACAAGTCAGATTGATGCTAAGTAAGGCTGATTGTTTTTCAAAATGTATACGCTGGAGAGTGAGATGTCATTGGTACTGTAACAACAAACACAAGTCAGATTGATGCTAAGTAAGGCTGATTGTTTTTCAAAATGTATACGCTGGAGAGTGAGATGTCATTGGTACTGCAACAACAAACACAAGTCAGATTGATGCTATGTAAGGCTGATTGTTTTTCAAAATGTATACGCTGGAGAGTGAGATGTCATTGGTACTGTAACAACAAACACAAGTCAGAGTGATGCTAAGTAAGGCTGATTGTTTTTCAAAATGTATACGCTGGAGAGTGAGTTGTCATTGGTACTGCAACAACAAACACAAGTCAGAGTGATGCTAAGTAAGGCTGGTTGTTTTTCAAAATGTATATGCTGGAGAGTGAGATGTCGTTGATACTGCAACAACAAACACAAGTCAGATTGATGCTAAGTAAGGCTGATTGTTTTTCAAAATGTATACGCTGGAGAGTGAGTTGTCATTGGTACTGCAACAACAAACACAAGTCAGATTGATGCTAAGTAAGGCTGATTGTTTTTCAAAATGTATACGCTGGAGAGTGAGATGTCATTGGTACTGCAACAACAAACACAAGTCAGATTGATGCTATGTAAGGCTGATTGTTTTTCAAAATGTATACGCTGGAGAGTGAGATGTCATTGGTACTGTAACAACAAACACAAGTCAGAGTGATGCTAAGTAAGGCTGATTGTTTTTAAAAATGTATACGCTGGAGAGTGAGTTGTCATTGGTACTGCAACAACAAACACAAGTCAGAGTGATGCTAAGTAAGGCTGGTTGTTTTTCAAAATGTATATGCTGGAGAGTGAGATGTCGTTGATACTGCAACAACAAACACAAGTCAGATTGATGCTAAGTAAGGCTGATTGTTTTTCAAAATGTATACGCTGGAGAGTGAGTTGTCATTGGTACTGCAACAACAAACACAAGTCAGATTGATGCTAAGTAAGGCTGATTGTTTTTCAAAATGTATACGCTGGAGAGTGAGTTGTCATTGGTACTGCAACAACAAACACAAGTCAGAGTGATGCTAAGTAAGGCTGGTTGTTTTTCAAAATGTATATGCTGGAGAGTGAGATGTCATTGATACTGCAACAACAAACACAAGTCAGATTGATGCTAAGTAAGGCTGATTGTTTTTTCAAAATGTATACGCTGGAGAGTGAGTTGTCATTGGTACTGTAACAACAAACACAAGTCAGAGTGATGCTAAGTAAGGCTGGTTGTTTTTCAAAATGTATATGCTGGAGAGTGAGATGTCATTGATACTGCAACAACAAACACAAGTCAGATTGATGCTAAGTAAGGCTGATTGTTTTTTCAAAATGTATACGCTGGAGAGTGAGTTGTCATTGGTACTGTAACAACAAACACAAGTCAGAGTGATGCTAAGTAAGGCTGGTTGTTTTTCAAAATGTATACGCTGGAGAGTGAGTTGTCATTGGTACTGCAACAACAAACACAAGTCAGATTGATGCTAAGTAAGGCTGATTGTTTTTCAAAATGTATACGCTGGAGAGTGAGTTGTCATTGGTACTGCAACAACAAACACAAGTCAGATTGATGCTAAAGGCTGATTGTTTTTCAAAATGTATACGCTGGAGAGTGAGTTGTCATTGGTACTGCAACAACAAACACAAGTCAGGGTGATGCTAAAGGCTGATTGTTTTTCAAAATGTATACGCTGGAGAGTGAGATGTCGTTGGTACTGCAACAACAATCACAAGTCAGAGTGATGCTAAGTAAGGCTGATTGTTTTTCAAAATGTATACGCTGGAGAGTGAGTTGTCGTTGGTACTGCAACAACAATCACAAGTCAGAGTGATGCTAAGTAAGGCTGATTGTTTTTCAAAATGTATTTAAAATTTGTTCTTCTACAGGACATGTAGGGTTGGTAAATATACATATAACCCAGAGGTTGGCCAAGAAATACGTTCCTGAACGGCCACTATTTGAATGAGGTTAACCTTTTGTATCCCACGAGGGCATATACACGTCTGAGTGCTAGCCCTGCTACCAGCCTCATGTGCGTGTATGAGTGTTGTTTGAATTTGTTGCGCTAACATACCGATTGAAGAAGAATATATAACTTGTTTAGTATTGGCTAGTTTGGGGAAGCCTGCTCTTGCAGGTGGTATAACTCCCAACAACATTCCTGAATTTACACTCAGCTCTAAAAAAGAATTTTTTTTATTAGGTGAGACTTTGCTTTTAAAACTATGTAAAAGATATGATTATCTAGGTTAACTGTTTATTAAAAATGAAATTTTCTTAAAACCCATTTTTGATACTATTTTTAGATTCTCATTTTTTCTGAACATAAAATTACAGATATTAGTATGTTCACTACTACACCTTGGTACTTTACAAAATTCTTCTTTGAATAGTCTGATACTCCACAAATATTGGGGCTCGACTTTGACCTTGCAAATGCCTGAACTCATAAGGTTAAGAATTGATAATATCCCTTGAACTGATAATGTAAACTTCACCTGAAGATACTCCTGCTTCTTCTTACGCATGATATCAAGTTTCTGAGCCATCTGGTGTTGTCGTTGTCTCTCTGCAAGTTCCGCTTCTCTCCGCAACTTCTCACGATGTTCATCGCGCAGAGCGTCTAGAGCTGCACGTGCGTCCTTAACTTGCACCAACTTGTCTTGTAGCCCCTCATAGTAGACTGATAAAAAATAACAGTTAAAAATATCAGTATAAAAATAACAGTTTTGCTAAAAAAAAAATTGGCAATACAGTGGAGCTAAGTTAGTGTAAAATGGGGATGAGTAACAGTTGAAAGTAAGTGTTACAAGAAAAAGTTTAAGCAGTTTTGTTACTAAAAGTAGCAGTTGCAAGCAATTGTTGCTAAAAGCAATATAATCCACTTGCTAGGGGGGTTCCTGTGTGCATTTTATTTATAGAAAAACACCCTAAGGGATCATGTAGGTACTATGTGGGTTATCATTTTTCACCTGGGTGCCAGCTTGGCAGAGTGGGCATAACCTCAGAATCCGCCATTTTAAAAATGGCGGCGGAATTTATGACATGAAACTCATTGGAAGCTTATATCTCGAAAACGGTAATATATAGCGAGTTACTTTTCCTACAATCAATGTTGCTTACACAATAAGGAACAACTTTTATATTTACAAAAATGCCCTAAATATAACTATTTAGGAGTAGTTGAGCAATTTATGTTAATTTAACCTATACATTTTTACTCTGTTTGACAAAAAAAATTCTAATATCTTTAAAAAAAACTGTTTTTTGAATTTGGCACATAAAACACCAATTGCTCTTTACATCTAAGGTCTAAATACCCCCGCCGCAGCAAACCTGCAGAATCAGCAAACATTTACCTGGCTGTATTTCTACTAAAATATTAAAATTGACAGATTGATTTCCTATTTAAATGACATTGATTTGTAATGAGTACTTAAGTTTGCTGCTTCAGGGAAGGTACTGAGGTGTTTTTTATATATTTTTATTGAAACGTTGATAGCTTACTATGAATGAAAAAAATTTTGAAATTTGACTATAATACCTATATCCATAAACAAGCAAACTAAAACAGTTTATTTATTCTTCATAAGAATAACATGGGCATTTTAAATTTACAATTTTTTTTAAATTATCTCCGCAACTTTTGGACATACACTGTTTCAATATACAAAATTATTTCTTTTATGAGCTCTATAAAATGGTTTGGTTCATTCTAAAATTTTGTGTTTTTAGGGTCGAAAATCGGAAAAATCCATTTTTACTCCATAAAACTCCCCATAAACCCCCGTTCCCATAGTCCGATCGTGCTGGTTTAATAGTCCGAACTCGTCTGAAAACTTAGGTTTACATGTTTGTGATAAATTTCATTAAAATTGGATCATTTTTGCTTGAGTTATCAAATTAAGTCGTAGTTCTGTCTTCGGATACAGATGTCGTAGTGTTGGCTTTACACTTTATGAATGGATTCTCTTCGGAAGGTTTGCAGGAATTGTGGATGCGACTTGGTTCAGTCAGAACTTCATGATATGTACTAGTTCACATTATAGCAAACAGGCTTGGAAGTAACCTTTGCTCAGTTCTCCCAGCACTCCATATTTTAACGGGCTGTGACTTTTCCAGCAAATTTGGAACAAAGCGTGCCACCCTAAAATGTAATCCAAGTACTTTGCTAATGGACTTTGGAAAAGATGAGGAGGAAGAGATAGAATAAAGTTTGAAAAACACAGTGAAGTATCAGTGAGGGATACTCAGTGTGAAACTATGAATGATCTAAGACACTGGATATACGTACACTGTCACTGTACAACGAATACTCTTAAAGAACTGCATCCTTTGCTCGAGAAGAAATTATGTCTAGTAGAGCTACTAGACAGCATATCTTACGTGCTTTTTATTGTACATACATCCAAATCCATTGCTTGGAAGAACACGTTTTTCAACTCGATCCTTTGAGTTTTGGATACAGTGATGGTGGTTACTCTTTGCCGCAATGCACACAAGTATATTGTGAACGGTTTAATTTTTCTGATGACTATAAAAGGGAACAGATCTAATTCCTCTTAACCCAAAAGGCTTATAATTTAGATCCAATAACAAATGTTATGATCCACGAAACTAGTTCAATTTTAATACAATCAGTCCAAAGCAGCCTACCACCAAGGACAATGTCAAGGTACTGGTTGTGTTAACGAGACGTCAATGCTTGGCCGATGCACCAACTTTGCCGCCAGTCCCGTTCCCGCTCCATCGCCGTTTTAATAACAAATGTTATGAATTATAATAATAATTTCTATTACATCCGTAGATTTATTATTATTTGTAATTACAAAAATTCATTTTATAGAAAGGTTTATATTTATTTTTATATTTGTATGCGTCATGTAATAACAAAAAATTAATTAAAAAATATTTTATATTATTTTAATAACCTATATCTGCCAGAAGCTTCTCGAATGCTTTTTGCAGTTTTTTACCTTAACCCTTAGAGTGCCAGGCGATAAATAAAAGTAACGCTCAAAAAATGCCGATGATTTTTCCCGAAGGTCGCGCTAAAAATGCCGAGCGCGATCTGGCGATTTTTAGGTTAAAATTTCGTAAAAATCGAATTTTCGATATTTCGACCAACGAAAATCGATGTATCGCATCTAGTAACTTTCGACTCAATGTTAATATATGGGTTAAAAGAATCCGAGTATCCATTCGGTTGCTATGACAACTGTTCGATCATTACGAAACGTCCGGTCAGCCGGACGTTGGCACTTTTGGCTCGTTCCAAAAACGTCCGGTCGGCCGGACGTCGGCACTTTTGGCTCGTTTTAAAAACGTCCGGTTCCCCGGACGTTGGCACTCAAAGGGTTAAATTCGAAGAAAAAATAGTGCTATGTGCCAAATTACAAAATAACAATTTTTTTTATAATTATTAGATTTTTTGGCAACAGAGATAAAATGTAAAGGTTAAATATAAAAATTAAATAAATATGACAATTCTAATATTTTAGTAGAAATGCAGCCAGGTAAATGTTTGCTTAGTCTGCAGGTTTGCTTCGGTGGGGGTATTTTGACCTTAAATGTAAAGAGCAATAAGTTCTATGTGCAAAATTAAAAATGAACAGTGTTTTAAAGATAATAGAATTTTTTTCCAAACAGAGTAAAAATGTATAGGTTAAATTAGCATAAATTGCCCAACTACTCCTAAATAGTTATAGTAAGGGCATTTTTGTAAATACAAAAGTTTTTCCTTATTGTGTAAGCAGCATTTATTGTAATAAAAGTAACTCGCTATATATTACCATTTTCGAGATATAAGCTCCCAATGAGTTTCATGTAATAAATGCCGCCGCCATTTTTAAAATGGCGAATTCTGAGGTTATGCCCACTCTGCCAAGCTGGCACCCAGGTGAAAAATGATAACCCACATAGTACCTACATGATCCCTTAGTGTTTTTCTATACATAAAATGCACACGGAAACCCCCCTAGCAAGTGGATTAATAGTTGCAAACAGTTTTTTGAATTTTTACAGAGAACAACTAACAGTTCAAAATGATTGTTACAAAAAGTTGGATAACAATGAATGTGAATAACAATTAATGTGAGTAACAAAATGAATCTCAGATAACAAGGAGGCGCATAGATTTTGAGGTTAGGGTTACGGTCTGTTATTATGAAGTCAAATACTTGTAATATATATCTTCAAGCAACACATAGCAAATGAAAATGATAATATGTCATTTTGATGCAAAACGTTTTTGTACATAACATAGTATTGTTAAAGAAATAAATAGGCCTAACACCTTAAAATGCAACAAGTTGTCTTGAAAAAACTTTAAACACAGTATTATTATAATTACAGTAGAACCCCGGTTAACCGAATTTGGGTTAACCGAAACGGTTCCATAAAATAATACAGGGCTAAAATATAAGTAATACCAATGCTTTAGTATTTTCAGTTGTTTAGTTTAAAGTATTTTCTAACCCATTGTAACATTTCTGTAGCTAAAATAAAATACTGTATTATATAGAAATTGTTTTAAATCTATTTTCCAACTCACCGTGGTAATATATAGGCTATTTTTAGCATATGACGGGTTAACGGAAAAATTTGTTATCCGAAACAGCTCTTCCCCCTTTATTTCGGTTAACCGGGGTTCTACTGTATGATAAACCAATACACTACATTATTTAAAACAAAACACTACTAAGGCAGATCTTTTTAGTTTAAAAAGTCAAAGTTTGTCATTTTGTTTAAGTTTGTTTGATTGATCTATAACTTGACACAATTATGTCCACATCAAAACAGCAGTGCCAGTAATGAAGAATACTGACACTGTTATTGTTTATTTTCTGCAGACGGCTTGTCCAGTCCAGTTTGCCATCGGTAGCCGGCCAACCTAGTACCGACTGATTTTAATTTTTAAGGTTATTGCCGTTCATTTTAACTTTAAAATAATACTTAATGGTTATACCAAGTACCGGTACTGTATTTGTTTCAAAAAATCGCTTTAAATTGATTGCTATTTTTAGGTTTCTTTAAATAGAAACATACCGTACTATAATTAAGTAATTATTGTTTTCCTACTGAAAATAAAAATATATATTAAGGCCAAAAACTATCTCGGATAACCCGAGAGCTTGGATAACCAGGGCTCGGATAATAGGGAGTGTACTGTACATAATAAGAGATTGGAGAACTTGGTGAAAAAACATGGCCACAAATAGTTGTGACATGACAAAACACTTTTTTGAGGAGTAAAACAAAATTTTACTGTGACAACACATTTTCAAAACCTTAATCCTAAAAGTATTTCTAAAATTAAGTGTGCCAAATAAATGTATAACTCAAATAAAACAATCGCCTGTAGAACTTGCACGAAAACTATTATGTAACCTGTTTGTTGTTTGAAGCAATTATTAATCCTTTAAATCTTTCGAGTGTATTAAACTAAAGTAAAACATAATTATTTTGCTACCCACCTCGACTATCGTCCTGCTGTTGAATGTAATGTAGAAGTTTGGAATGCATCGCTGTTATGTTCATGAACAGTTTCTGAACAGAAGAATCGTTTGCAATGCTTCTTCCGCGAGAAGAGTTGCTCTTCATGCGGTTCACGAATATCTCAACTTGACTTTTCAGATCTCTCACAAATTCTTCCATCTCACTGTCAGTTGCCACTCCGTTCTGCTCCATTTCATTTGAAAGCTAGACAAATATGAGAATTTAAAGAATACTGCCATTTATTAATATGTGGTTTTTGTTAGTAAATAAATTCAAATTCAATTCAAATTATCTTTATTCATCAAGTACATTAGAAATATATACATGAATAGTGACACATGTCTTAATGATAAAGTTACAATAAAATATACATGCTTATGGTAAATAAGAGAAAAATTGTAAAAGAACAAAGAACTAACAGTTAAAACATATTTATATTAGTAGGGAAAGAGAAGTCAACTACAGTTAAAGAGAAAAATAAAGAGATGTAACACCCAAAGAGCAACTTGAGTGATCCCCTAAAGCTAGCCCTCCTATACATCTAGTGTACAATATCTTTAACTCCCCGACTTGAATGTGCATGTTTAAGTTCATAATGATGGGTTGGTTATATTTTTCACCGCAGATATTTTGCATGATTAGTAAAAATACCCCAGCTGCAAACCTGCAGCTAATTGGATTTTAACTTAAATATTTCCATATATTGTGTTACCTGTTTTCCCATGTTAGTAGCGCTACTGATGGGTGCAGGAGCTGATGGGCTGCTTTCTTCAGTCCCCCTGTTTTCCCAGTAAGATCGGTTCAGATACCTCGCCAATTCCGGATCTTCTTCTATCGGCGGGCTAATGACCTCTTGCCTCTAAAGAACGAGAACACTTTTGTTACGTTAAACCAGTTACACTAAATTATAGTGGAATTTGGTTAGTTAAAACTCTAGGGAGCAAGTGATAAATGGTTTGAAAATTGAAGGTTATGTTTCTACTTTTTTCAGTAGGCTTAAGAGTCAAACTGAATTTGGAATGGATTTAGGTTGTATTTATCTTTGCATGCTTGATTTTACAAGCATGAATTTCAATTTCTTTGTTGATTAAGGAGTATATATACATTATACATATTTCTATGGTGTGTTGGTAGCCTAATGGTAAGCTTTCCGGACTTCCAGTGTGGGAGGGACAGGGGTACTTTCGTATTATATGGTGGCCACCCTTATACAGCGCGCTGCGGCGGTTATGTTAGGTTGGGTTATCATAAATATGTGTAGGGTAGGACTTTCCTAATTTTTTTATGAATTGAACGATACCAGATGAGTCATACTTTCGCCTGCCAAATCGCCTCCAAGTAGGCCAAGGTAGCATCACCTGCCACTGCCTGTATCTGGGTCAGTGTCCTGAATGATGACTGCAGGATCATCTGGTATCGTTCAATTCATAACAAAATGAGGAAAGTCCTACAAACATATTTATAACAACCCAACCATTGCAGCGCGCTATACCTACTTGACGGGGTACATGGCAGCTAGCGGCGTCGACGCATTCAACTCAATCCTTGCCGAGATTGCTGCCTTCTGGGAGGCAGAACTCAAAAGGCCGCTAATCATAATCATGTCAAATTTGGACAGTAAGTCAATTAAATTAGGCCTATGTTTTTTTCAATTATGTAGTTAGTTTTGGTCTCTAGTAAAATAAATCCTTTTAAAATATGTGGACTCCATATAATATGAAAATACCGGGATGGGTTCAATTCCTGGCACATCCACTAAAAATTTGTCAAGACTGAAGAGGACATGGTCCTATAACAGCCACAGTCCGGGGGGTTTCAGCTCTCTGGACCAAAATTTTTTGCTGGGCAATATTTTTTTCAGCATTCTAAAAGTATAAACGATTTAATCTGTACCAACTTACCACTGGCGGAGGGGAGTAACTTTTGGTTCTAGAAGTAGGAGTCAAACTTCTGGTAGTTTTCTGAAAATAAAGTCACAATTGTTACCATACGTTTAGTTCCAGATTAATTGCTGAATTTTTCATCAAATACATACTATTAAACAATACATAGGAACTTTTATCTATTGAATATACAAGCTTAGAACACAAGATATTTTGAACAAGCTGCATTTTTTCTATCCATGACTCAATGTTTTAAGGAGTTTGCTAATCAGTACTCCTTTACACAGAGTAATTTCTAGAGAAAAACTTGGAAGTGACGCCTTCAAGCTAGGATGAGGAGGAAAAGCAATAGTCTTTGACTGCATAAAATAGTAAGTAATATGGGACTATGGTAAGGGTATCTGCTTTTGGAACAGCTTAAGGACGGGACCGCTACAGTCAAGCAAGCACTTCAAGAAAAACAGGCTTTTAGATAAGAAACAGGGAGCGCAATAAGCCTACTTGTGGCTGACGTCCCCAACAAAATCAATCAATAGAGTTGGTGAAATTTGTTTACTACAGGGACTTATTTATTTATTAGCTTACAATGCCTCAAACCGTACTTTGTTATCACCAACACTTCGCCTTCAATGCTTTTAGACCCTTTTATTGAATATACAGTAAAACCCCTTTTAACCGCATCCCGTTAAATCAAAACCTGAGTTAACCTAAACCATCATAAAAATTAAATCTATTGGAAAATGAGGAATAGTCCACCAAGGTGTAAGTGGTTGGTTGGATTGGTCGACAGAATATAATGGAGCAGACAACAACATGGATCTCATACTGTGAAAGTTTAGGAAACAACTGTAAATTATTTTATGACATGCAAATTTTGTATTAAGGTGTTTATTTTAAGAAGGCTGCAATTAAAATTAAAATGACTGCTTTAGATCTCTTTGAAATTGCCTTTAAATTCCTAACATTTCTTAACCGAAAAAAATAAGATCTGAAACAACTTTTCCTCCTTTATTACAGTTAATCGAGTAGTGTGCCAATCAAAAACTTTGCCAATGTTCAATTTCTATGTTACAGCATAATGCAATATCTCTAAAACTTATTTCAGAAGGGCACCATAGTTATAAAATAAAATAATAAATATAACAAATCACTATTTAATTTCTTATAACAATTTTTTTTTTCATTCTCACATGTTTCTCCTTGTGTTCAGCTTCAGACTGAGATAAAGCTAGAGCAAGTTGAAGTTCTTCTTCTTCCTTCAACTCGTCTTCACTTTTACGAGGAGGAGGAGCCTAGAAAAAAACAAAATATCATTTAAACATAACTGTTCAACAAATTGTTACAGCATCGCATGTATTTTATTCTTTTCTATTTCCCTGTAATTAATAATTTTGAGGTTAACACTTAATGAGATTCAAATGTTGGACCAAGAGTATTTTTATTTTCTTAGCTGGGAATCGTTTTTCACATTACTTCAGACTTGGCCTAGATGTTGTGGCACGATCACTTAGATGAAATCCATTAGTGATTCGCAGGATTTGATCCTGGTACCTCAGGGACCAAAGTCTCTTGCTCTACCTGACACACATATTTAGCTGGTAGTGTTGACCAGCTTGCTCTCATGGACAAAGAGTATGATGCAGTAAAAATGCATTCAGTTCAAACGTGGTTACATTACTGACCTGATTTTGCTGGGCTAAAGAGCTCGTCAGATATTCCACAGGAAGTTCTTCAGTACTATCTTGTTTCTTGGGTGTGGCTGGCCTGGGAAAATACAAGATTATCACAAAAATATTTTTACATTAGGTAAATGAATAGGCCTAGCTTATATTCAAAGGAAAATCTTTCTTTCTCTGATAACATAGGGACGTTACTTTTGAAGTGTTGATTTGCCTAGCCCCAGTGTTGTTATGGTTAGGTAGGAGTTTTGATAACACTTTCATTTAGACATGTGCGAGCCTAAGATTTTGGATCGTCGAGATTTTTTTGTGATGAATGTGACGTGACGTAATGACATAAATAACCTTTGTTACGATTTTCCTTTTCAAAATAAAATTTGATCTTAACAAATTTATAAACATCAAACACTTGTTCGACACTCACAATCACATGAAATGGATGGTAGGAATAGAATCGGCCAAGGCAGCGTACTATGCCATAGTGGAATCAGACATAAGGTGCGGGCAATCAGACATTAAGACAACTGATTTGTTGGGGTGGTACCTCTGACAACAACCAAAAAAATCCTGGTGGTTCACACGAGTGCTGTCAAGGTACTTTCTGGCCTTGGCCCCCCAGAAAGTTGTAGAGAAGCTTTCCCTCTTCAGCACTTTTATTTATAAAACATTTATAAAACCATCCCACTGCACATGTAAAGCCTCATCAGTAAACAAACTGAAAAAGGAACTCTAAAACTAGCTTGTAAATAAACCAGTGTGCTCAATCAAGGAATTTGTTGACCAAAGAAGATAATGGACAACTAAAGGAACCAAATAATAAATAATAAACTATTACAAAACAAGTTTTGACACTAATGATTCTTTTTATAAATTTCAAAAAAAAGAAATTTGTCTATTGTATATCGTAGATAGCTATTGACTGTGTGTTCCTAACTATATATAGACAAAATATTCTGTTTGTACATGGCTTATTTGTAGGGAATATGTTTTTACTCACTTGCTATTCTTGTTGTAGCAAGCTTCGCAGACTCTGACTTCTTTTTCGATCCCGAACTTGGGCAGAGTGCAAGTCTTGGCAGAGCACTGCGAGCAGAACACCTGTCCACAGGCGCGGCAGTGGTGCTGCGAACAGAGGAACAGTGGAAAATGAATTTGTAGAACTTGAGCAAAGTGCTGCAGACAGTAAAACAATGAGGAAATAAAAACGTTCTTCGCTTTACCTAATCAAAAATGTGTCTCTATACTCCGAATAATGATTGGTTATGTGTCAGACACATATCAGTAGCATAAATTTACTCCGTCCAAAACAACATGAGTTGGCTGGGCACATTGTTGAACATGACCTTGCGGAGCCTAAGAAATGTTTCTAGACGACAGGGGGCTGCCTTGTAGTTACAGCGGGGAACTCAAAGGTGATGAGTAAACCCTGACACAAAATCCGGCAGCCCAAGGTAGTAGCTGGCAGCTACAACATCAGATCAGAAGAGGTGGGTAATAACCTGCTTCAAATTAAAAACAAAACAATTAAGGAAATTGGAAGTAAATAAAACTAGCCCGAATCTATAGAAACAATGCTTTGGCATAAAACATCTGGCGAGAATTGGATCAAGGAAAAAGGTAAAACAAGGGGTGAATTGAAGGTGGTGGATGGATAGAGAGCTCTTCTGAATACCCTATGCTCCCAAGAATTTGATTAACATAGGAGGAGGTAATAGGAAATAAGTCAAGTCACTATGTCCACTAAAGTAGGTAAAACAGAGTACACAAAACCAAAGGTTCTACTTTTTTTAGAAAACAAAAATACAGTTGCAAAACAAACTGTTTAATGTGTTTAAGCACATCTAAACTACTGGTCAAGCAGACTTGGGCCTAGAAGGGCTTGTTTGGTTAAAAGCAGCCAGATGATGAACCAGACGCTAACATTGGTCAAAAGCACCTGGTCAAGGGCACAGGTATACGATTCCCTAGTTAGTGGCATGCACAATAATCATCAGTTGATGTGCAAGGACCCTGAGTCTGCCCCTTCAAACGATACAATACAAATTGCTGGTGAAAAGCGAATGAAGAAATAATATCTGTAAAATCACAATTAGAAAAGAACAAGATTATTCTGACAAATTTTGCAGTGAACAAATGATTTTTCTTGGTAAGGAAGTTCAAATTTCTCATTTGAATTCTTAAAGTATATATAAACGTACCTTACGCTGCACCATGCCGAACTGCACGCGGCAGCGGTGACAACAGTCGCCGTCTGCCCACGCCGGGGCCGTATCTGCGGAGAACATCGCGTCACTCTCCTTCAGTGGGGGGAACTTGTAGTCTCCAGCCTTCATTATGTTCATAGTGTCCTGCGGAACAAACAAGCCAACTTACTTAGGCTGCCATTTGTATGTAGACTGTCACAATACAACCTCTCTGAACCGAACCCTTGATCAACCACTACTTGGTTTAACACATCTGTATATAAATAGAGGTCACTACGTCAAACAATCCGTCCTGAGTTTTAAAGCTCAATTTTTTGAATAGTATATTGCAGTGTCTTACCCAGTGTTTCAATTGTACAAAAACAGTCCGGAGGTTATATAAACTTACAATTCGGTTCACTATAATCTAAACTTTTCCTTCCTAACCTAACTTCAAACAATTAGTAATTTTAATGATTAATGTAGCCTAGCCTTGAATTTGCATAAAGTCAGACCTACGTAAATAAGTCATCTTATAACACAAATTTCAAGGTGATTTGCAGTGTTTGCCCCAAAAGTTCCAGACAAATATAATGCTTAAAATTACCCAATTTAGCCAAATAAATAAAACTTTGTAAAAATTGCATGAATAGCTTAAGTTCATAAATATAATATGTTTAAATTTTTATTGTTGTTTTAATTGAAAATCTTTTACCTTTAGCAGTTTAAAATTAGTATAAGATCAACTCACATAGTGCCTTTCTAAACACTTTGAGTAAGACTGACTCATTCAATGGAAGGGAAATTCAAATGATATCACATGATAAAAGCTTCCAAGTAAACAATCTTTGTGTTTACCAACTTGTGGAACTTTAATCATAGAAGTTGAATAATTTGTAAAACATTTTCATATATTTAATATTAATAAAAGGTTTAACCACCCACTGATATATATATATATAATTTAAATTATATTTTTAAATCTAAATAAAAGTATTGACAGACATAATTATTTTACCAATAAAATGAATAGCTGAGAATGGACTTTTCAAGCCTGAAATGATAGGCCACTAGATTTTTGCTCAGTTCCCCCAATTTCCCTAATGAAAAGCTGTAATATACTTTATAAACTGAAATCTTTTTATAAACAATATGAAATATTCTGACTTACATGGTGAAAACTTTAGTCACCTTTTAACAGGAGACTAAAAGTAGTTGACTAAATTGAGAAGGTCTGGGTGGAAGACGGGTGATATTGATTCAATTCATAAGGCTTCCCAATACTTCAACCGATTATGTCACTTAACTTAATTTTATTTTCATATATTACAATGTAGTTGATTTTTACTTAAGTTTGCTATTGATGAAATAGGTTAATAATAAATTTTGTGGATATTAAAAACAAAAAAAAAACCTTGTAAATTTCAAACCAATGTTTCTGTTTATGTCAAAAGAACAGCTGAGCTTTAAAATGTTCTACAGTTATTTCAGATCCTATGTTAATGATCTGGTATTAGTTTACACCCAAGCAGGAAATGAGCAGTAAGTAAATTTTAATCAAACAGAGTTTTGACAGAATTAAATTCAGCAGGAGATTGAACTTCATTAAATTACAGTAAGATTTGTAGATTTTATGGTGTCAAATACAACCGTACCAATCTTAAACTAACCTATATTTCCTATGCCTTTAACTATATATCACAACTTTTGTTAGTATTTTTTTTTTTTAGGGGGAGGATTTTTTATGGCGTCTTATTACTTTTAAAATTTGCTTTTAAAATATACAAAAGTTGTTTGCTTATAATAGTATACCTCTTATTGAACGAGGTTTTTGGGACTAAGACTACCTTGGTTACCGAAAACAATTAATTGTCAAGGCCTATATGGTTGAACGGAAAATTATAATTGGGAGTAATTATTGAACAAATTAATGTTAAACCATTAGAAGATTTAATAGTTTTAACCTCCAGGGGGGTGCTCTGCCTTATAGACACAAATGGGCGCTTCACTCTTAATGACTAAATTAATATATCTTATATTAAAACAGATAAATGATGAAAATTAAGGAAAACAAGTATATGGTAAGCAGTGATGTTGATGGTATGTTTTTCAGCCCAGAAACGCTCACCATTGTCCAGGATCAAAAATTGATCACCTATTAATTTTGGACTTTTGGAGAGCAAAGTGGGAACAAAGATCTCAAAACATTCTGTCCAACTGATATATAAAACATTAACATCATGAAAATACAAAATTAGATTGAGTGGATAAAAAGATCAACCGGTATGCCATTGTTGAACTTTGTAAAAAAAGTTGTAGGTATTTTTAAATCTTATTATGAGGGCTTTCTTATATTAAAATCTTATGTTAAATCTTATATGACATTATGGCTTTGATTTATATTTGTATTGTACGTCCAAAAAAAAAGGCTTTTAAGTGTGTTGAAATGAACGATCCCAGACAGTTTTCTTTACTGTAATGAGCAGCTTGAAACAAACTCCGTGACACCACTACCATGGCTCAACCCCTCCCTGAGGAGTATCTGCGAGGGTGAACCTCGGCCTACCTTGTCTTCCAGTAATAGGCAAAATGATGTAGGCCTATTTAGTTCTTTTTCGCCCAAGGGCAACAAACAGATGTCCTTATCTTCAACAAAAGTAAAAAAATTCACACAAATTGGCTTTTTTTGTTCAAAGAAATATTTAATAGATCCTCTCTCAATAGATATTTGCTGCCCTCATCACAAATGGTCACCTTGTCTTTATACGTGTAAGCTAGCTGTTCTGATTTATACACAGTTTTAACTGACTACTCCCGTACGTAGGACGGGCTAACACCTCGTTGAACTAAATTACAAATTGATTTTTAACACAAAACATGATATAAAATCAAAAACTTGAAATGTATGTCTACCTGAACCGCCCTGTACTTGGGGCTGTTTCGGAAAGCAAACGCCCATGCTTGTATCAACTCGAGGACTTTGCTCCGCACGTTCTCGTGAGGACTCGTCCTGACCAGCTCGCGCAGTTGCTCCATATAGGGCTTGGTCCCAATCTCATCGTGTATGAGACTACCACAGTTTTTTACGCACGACTCGAGTACCTGTGAAACAGCAAAGAGAATTGTGTAAATGATTAATGGCAAGATTCAATGAGGGTTATATTCTGAGGGTAAATTTCCTCAAAGAGATAGAGATTAGCTAGGCTAGCTTAAATGGGAAATGAATTCAGGAGCTTAATGTATTCAGAGCTTGTAAATCACATAACTTAACACTGATATTTTGTTTTACAGTAAAGACTAAGACCTTAGGCACAGCCTTCTCTAATATAAAACCGCATTGTATTGTGGCAACGTCGCACTGATCGGCCTATTGCCATGGTAATAGTATCAATAACAAACATGTGAACATAACGTTTACGCAGACGCTCTATGATGAATTAATGCAACCGCTGTATGCTGGGATTGCAGCACATTTAACTTTTGTCTCACTGTGACCTTGTATTGTACAAGGCTATGCAGTAGGCTCTAACCTAGGACTAAAAAATTATCAACTAGGATCTAGAAAATTTACCAGGCCTATCTAAATAGGTAACAATAGTAGGCCTAGAGCCTAGGCCTACTTGGAAAAAAATAAGTTTTATGTAGTAATGTCATTTAGTTTAATCATTATGAATAGAATAAGCCACAATTTTATATAAAATACAACTCAAAACATTTAAAATTATAACAAACTTTAAGAGAGCCGACAAATTAATCAACATAGCTTATAAAATAAAACTGAATACTTACAATCAGTCCAAACAAAGCAACATGGGGATTCGGGTTGATCAACTTTTTTTTAATTGCAGCAAGGGCGTATTTTGGTCTGAAAAGAAACATCACAAATCACAATAGGCCTATTAAAAACCACCATTAGTAAGATATTGAATTTTGTGTTTAAATAGATATTTAAGTGTTTAAAAAGTTGATACTGTGCTAGGTATTTACCAAAGAAAAGGAGAGATCAAAGGAACGTGGCTAGCTTAAACTCTCTTTGGTCTAAATAAACTCAATGTGTATGCAACTACTCTAAGACTGTAAAGAGAGAAAATTTCCAAAAATATACATCTTAAATTACTAAAATAAATAGGATGGTGGATTACAATGCTCTGGCCTTGACTAAATTCTTCCTCCTAAGGATTTTATTTAACGGTTGGGCATCCTTTATTTAGATCTAAACGAACTCAAACTGGAACTTAAATAAAGATGGTACGAAAAATCCTACAATGATGAATTTTAAATAACATGTTACCAAACAGTTAGAGCCTATCTTATAGCATAAAAGAGACTTCCTCCTTTTTTTATTGAGACTTAAGTATAATGATGGTATCTCCCCAACTCTGACAAGCTAGCCTATGTACAAACGCACATGATGTGGTTATCACATTGACTTTATTAGTTATGATACTTGTGTGTGGATGGTGTTTTGATTCATTTAATAATTATTGACAAAATCCTAATAAATGGACCCTAGAGAACGTCACTGTATTGACACAACTACTATACTTTAAATAGGTACTTTCTACGTCAACTGTGTGAGAAGGTCACTCTAACCATCGAGGCTGAGACGTTTTCGCCCAAAAACCTTGAATCTATTAAATTTAAATGTTCTTAACAAACACTTAACATATAATATCACCTAACCCCCTTTTCACAATTACAAATAATAAATGGAGGGCTATGCTTACTGAACATCTCCTTGACGTATTTGGTCACAAATTTGCAGGATAACCGGCCAGTCTGGCTCCAGACGCAGGTGACTAGTGGCTTTGTCTGAAAAACACAAACATTTTATGATTCCAGAAGGTTTGAATGTTAAAGTGAATTAAACTTAAGTTCACACGTATCACACACTTACACGCACAACAACCTTGAATGTTCTAAACAAACTATAACCAGGCCCACTTTTATAAACGGGCAGACTGGGCATATGCCCAGGGGCGCCAGTGGTTGGGGGGCGCCCTGAACCACCGCCTGCACTAGGAAAAATAAGGTTTTATCAGCCGGGATTTCAAAAATAAAATAGGTGATTTCAACTTGTAGTTAAGTGATTTTCCCTTATTGCAAAAGTATACAAATATAACAAAATTGAAAATACTCGACCTTCAGGTTATACCTCGTGTAGTCAGAGAAAGGCAGGCAGCAGTGTGAACCGGGCGCACTCACTATACTATCAGAGGTAGGGAGGCCCTCATGGTGGAAGGAAAATACATAGGTGTGCTATTCCCATCTTATGCTGACGTCACTCAGATTGCAAACACCATTTTACCATTGAGAAAAATTATAAAAACAATAACAATCAAATCAAAACAAATATATACTTATATGGCAATACATCAGCTGATTTTTTGTTTGCAATTTGGGTGACGTCAGCAAATTACGGGAATATTATTAATAATAAATATATCATAAAATATATAATAAATAAATCATTAATAAGGCCAGCTGTAGTCTACAGGCCTACGGTTGACGTGCCCCTCCTCTTCCTCCCAGTCCCACCCCGTCCCCACAAGTCACAACTACCAACTACCGCGCGGCGGCAGTCCCAGTCCAGTACAGTATAAACAGTACTCCTCCCTCAGTAGTCAGTAGGTTTTGTGTTCGTGTTGTGCCTGCTGCACAGTCGTCAAATCAATCACAACACAACTTAAACTGTGACAGTCACTAGTCAGTGTTGACACTCACACTGCAGTTAGTGAACCAGTAATAAATAAATAGAGAAGTGTTGATACAAGTAGGCCTATAAACAGTGAAAAATGCATAAAAAACCTGGTAGAGCCGAGAGACGCAAGCGGTTGGCTCAAAGAAAACAAACTCAAGAAGCAGTTTTAAAGAAAGTGAAATGTATTAACCAGTATTTCCACTGATACGGAATTGAAAACTCCCTCCCGAAACAAAACTGGTAAAAAACCACACTAATGTATAAATATATATATGCCTAGGCCTATAGTAGAACCACGGAAAAACATACTCCTTAGTAGAATCTCGTTCAATACGTGTGTAATGCAATGAACTGCACACTGTACTGTACTGAACAGTAATCAAATCACTGCGTAGTGCATTAAGATATTGGCGCAGGGAAATAGGCATTCGCATAGCAACTACTGTCAAGTTCATTGCACTCGCCCCAACCCCAAACCCTCCTGTAGTGAATTTCAGCGAACTGATGAGTCAACCCACCTTCCCTCTTCCCCTCCCTACACTGCTGTGGTCATAACCTTTATAGTTTTATATATATACATATAAGGGGGGGCGCTGCTTTTGGGTTTGCCCAGGGCGCCACTGACCCTTAACGCGGCCCTGACTATAACCGAGCACTTTTTACACTTTCAATTTATGTTCTTTGATAACAGTACACTGTATAGGGCCTACTGAATTTTTCTAAATAGGACTACATTAACTTAGTTTTGTTAGGAACCTCAGTAACCTGTTGCCAAAATCAGTAGGCCTAACAACTATTATTAAGTTAGCATTATCTGACCCCCTTATTCGTGTATACCTAGGCCTACTCAATGGTTAAATGTAACACTCCTAGGATTAAACGAAAATATTCATGTGGGATGAAATGGGATTTTTCATTAATCAAAAGTGGGATAACTTATAACGAGATTTTCTTGACCAATTTTGTTTTGGTTGTGGGTATGGATACACTGGAATAGAACCTTGCACCATCTGTAAGCCTAATGCATTGTCCATGGCCATATTGTAATAATCTATTGCTTGATTGCCATAAGAGCTAACATTCATTAACTAAGTATAAATAAGTTGCTAGCAACTGTGACAATTGACAAATCTAGTCCAAAAAAAATATTTACAATATGGCATGGTTTACTGCTTCACAAAAGGGTCCATATAAAATGTTTGTATGGTCAACTTGAATTGAACCAAAAGTAAAGCTATGACCATAACCTAAATCAAGAAATATTACCAAGTAGCTTGTCAAAGCTTGATGTTGAGCGAAACATTGTAATTCTGGCCAAGCACTAGGATCCAAGAAAATAATGAACAATTTAAAAGTTTATGTTTGTTTAGCACACTTAATACTGATATCACGAAAACTAGTTTGACATTATTTATCTCGCAAGTAGTTATGAATCAGAGACAGACTGACAGACATCTCCAGCTGTCGGACGTCGGTCGGTTCGTGAATCGTGATGACGTTGGGAAAGGGAAAAAGGAAATAGAACAAACTAGAAACGATCCGATACTATCGACAGTATCATAGATTATATGGAAAATTTATAATAAATGTATAAAATGATAATAAGGTTTAGATGTAATTAAATGAAAAATTAATAGATCAAATTAGAATAGAACAACCTTTACATCACTAAATCAGTAAGTAATATCGTTAATATCATAGATAAAACATACTCATACTCCCAATATACTAGACTTGTGCTTAAATTCAAGGTTCCTCTCTCACCTCTAATTCCAAACTCAACTGTTTTGCTGATGTACAAAAACACAGCTATCATATATTCACACTGTTTTGTGGATGCTATAATGACGAAGACAATCAAGAAAAGTCCAGGGGTTAAAGATGGATACTGCACACAGGTTTGGATTGAAATGCAATGAAATTAAAATGCTTCTTTATGGAGGCAAACTTAGGACATCCTGGTCCTTTCTTACAGTTTTATCTACAGTACCTCTAACCATCATGGCCACATTTAACTCCAGGCCGCGGCCTGGTAGAATAATTGGCAACGTTGCAAGTGGTGTTGCCTAGCGCCAGACGTCCCATAAGATAACATGGTAGACAGGTGACATCAGCTCATTAATTCACGTATTATTTGTTTAAATTTATGAACATAAATGCATTAAAAGATTGAAAATAAAACATATAGAATTAAAAAGCAAAACAATATTTAAATTGAAAATATAATTTTGTATATTTAAAGTGGAGTTAATATTTTTAGCTCAGTAACCAAGCTTTCGTATTATTAAAAAATACATAAAAACCATTAGCTGCCTCCAAAACAAAACAGCTGTTACAACCCTACTTGCGATGTTGCCACTTCGAAGGCCGCGGCCTGGAGTTAAAGGTAGCCGTGCTCTAGCTCTAAAAGACAATTACACATGTTTACAAAGTTACTGTAAGAAATGAAAAAAAATTAAATGGAATAAAATGAAACCATATAGTGCTTTATTTTTATTAAAACGATGTAAAAATAGAAAAAAGGTTTTTCTAGTGGGGCCTTGATCCAATAGTCAATGCTAACACACTTACTACTGTAAGAAACGTATGGATTCTGAGGGCGGAATTTGTCTTTGGTTATAAAATAATTTATAAATACAATTTTTTTTAAAACCAAACGTTTTTAAACGCACTAAAAAGTAGAAAATAATTGAAGTAGAAATAATATCAATCTATTTAATTTATTGTTTACTTTATAGAATAGTATAAAAATAACAACTGACATTATTAACAACAAACACCTTTATATCTGCAATCAGATTTGTTATCTTTATTTTGAAATGTTTGTGTTTGTATAAAGAATCTCTTGGGAGCATAAAACCTGTACCTCTTAACCTCTGCTCTTCGAACTGTCAAATTTAAGTATTTACAGCTGACATAAATTAATTTATATATTTACATCCTTTCAAAATGTAAACATGGAAAATTTGGAAGCCCATGGGGCGTAGCCTAAGGGAAATATGAAAATTAAATGATATAATATTGCATTGTCATCCATTTGTGAGCTATGTTTAAAATTTCAAGTCTCTAGCTCATAGGAAACTTCGTTTAAAATAAGCGAGCTAATAAAAACAAAAAACAATCCCATGGGGCGTAGCCCAAGGGAAATATGAAAATTAAATAATATAATATTGCATTGTCATCCATTTGTGAGCTATGTTTCAAGTTTCAAGTCTCTAGCTCATCGGGAAGTATCAAAATTTGCAAGAAAGCGAGTTAATAAAAACAAGCCCATGAGGCGTAGCTCAAGGGAAATATGAAAATTAAATTATATAATATTGCATTGTCTTCCATTTGTGAGCTATGTTTCAAATATCAAGTCTCTAGCTCATCGGGAAGTTAGTATAAAATTGATTGCAAAGTTTGTACCGGACAAGAAAGTGAGCTAATAAAAACGTTTTAAAAACACTTCTTGGTCCCAGGTAAGATTGGTAAGAACACTATTTAAAATAAAGGGCACTGTGTAACCAGAGCATCATCTGTAAATATAGAAGAAACCCGGTATCTACAAATACTTACTTAAACTGAAATACATTCTAAACCCTGACGCGATTATTATAAACTCAACACACATTAACACACGTTATTTTTAAAGCGTTCTAAAAAATATACATTTTAGTAGTTATGAAATTAAAATGACATTATATTCAGGTTCAGGTTGTACGTGCACCTCACCTGAAGAAAGGCAGGGTGTGACTCATCAAGCTTAGTTTTTTCTAGCGCCATGGACTTCATCGTCCCAAAGGCAGCGATGTTGTATCCTTGGTACCTGCTACAACTTTTCATTTTATTAGAGTACACTATTTCACCCTTGCTCTACCGGCTCATCTCACCACTTGCTTTGCTGGATAGATTCAAAAGCATGAAACATATTCAACCATTGATTTTAAATGTTACCCTTCAGTTGGCTACAGTTATAAATTTATTGGTAAGCACTAAGCGGTATAAACTACACACAGTAGTAATTCCATCTAAGGTTAATGGTTAACAGGTTGCACTGGTTCAACCAAATCAATAATCATGAATCAATCATGTTAATGTTTAGCTGTAATAGTACCAATGGTATGACTTTAGTATCACTTCATTTAAAATATGAAAATCATAAATTTGAAGAACGTAGGTGGTTTATTACAAACAAATTATTTTAGTCTTTTTAAAATCATTTGAAGTATTCAATTATTTTAAAATATTTTACTTTTCTTCAATAACTCTTCCATTTAGATTTAAATGTTTTCTGTGATGACATTTTTGACGTGTTTCAGAAGATAGAACATAAACATAAAGAAATCTCGTCAGAAACAGCCTCACTACCTGGGAAATCTCAGAGTTTGAGGGTATAAAGGGTGGTGTAAAATACCTATATAGGTGTTAATAGGTACTCAAAGAGATGCAAATATTTTAACAGCAATAAGCACTTTAAAAAATGTACGTCAACCCTTTCTCTGCTAGTACAGTATATTTAGAAGTAAATGTACGAGTAAATAAACAGTAAAAGGGAGAAAAACGCAGTATTCAATGTATAAAATGTTTTAGTCCATAATATTGGTTTGGTCAACAGTAAAAAATCTGATGTACATGTTTCTACAGTCTCTCTTAGACTAGACATTTACAAGCCATATACTTATATCAACATTTATCACCTTAAACTAAAGCATTTCATCCCTGTGTGTAAATGGTAATAATACAAGTTGAAAGACTTCTAGGTTAACTTACACTATTCAATCATTTATATTATTATGAACTGCAGGACTTGCTTCCTAAAAGAGATATTTGCTTTTTAGGCAATTGTTTTTATCATAAAGACCAGATAGGTAGCTAATTGTCAGTAAAAAAAAAAACTAAAAAGGTATTACATTTTATATTTAAGTGCCACCAGTTTAGATATAGTTGGGGCTATAAAAAGTTGAATATGGCTATTAAGCTAGCTTGGATAACTGTACACTTAATAAGACAGTTAAGTCTTAGAATGGACAAGTTTGGTCATTTCTCTAGCATCGACAACAAATAAAAATGAGCAAGTTATCTTACATACAAAAATTACAAATACTTGTTTTCTTGAAAAATATATACATCTTAACTATGCACGGTAATATTCATAACCCTTTGAAAGACTGTTTTGACTTTTTTAAACTAGTAAACTACATTGCACACAAATCTTATAAACAAATCACAGCTTAAAACTAGACAAATATATACAAAAATATTACAACCTTTCTTAAATATTGTAATAGATATACTTTAAGAACCGTGTCTTCAAATTAAAGTCCAGAAAAATTGTACATTGGTCTCAATACTGAAATTCTAACTGTTTTTGTAGAAAAGAAATTTAAATAAAAATAAAGCCACAAAATAATTGTTTACTTAAGAGAAGGATGAGAATATCAAATACTTTTTATCAGACTATCCTGCCACTTTCTCAAAGGTGAATAGCTCTAGAAAGCAACTTGCAACAAGACAAAACGTGAATGCACATAATACTTTAAACACTTTTAAATAATTGGTTTCACAAAAAATATGCCTTGGCACTACTTTTAAAATGTTTCGTTGTCACCTAAAAATAAAACTTAAATATGAACAACAGTTTATCACTTAGACAAAAACATGTTCCTATGTTTTGGTTGAGCATTAACATAGAAGTTTAGGAAAAATATTCCAACCATCATTTTTGGTGTAATGTACCTATTATTCTGTGTATAAATAGATGTATTACACATTATTTTTCTACATTACCTATTTCACATTTAAACAATATTTTAGTCGTTGAGTAGACTTCCTCTAGTTTGAACAGATCAGGGAAAAAAGTATAATTCATCAAAAGTTGATACAAAAATGAATGAAACATTGTGTGTGAAATAGTAGCGCATTACAGATGTAAACCTAACAATAAAATACTTCTCCTTATCATATTGTATTTTAGAATATTGAACAGCACTACACAAACTTCCTGTGATTGGTTTACATTGGACAAACGCAGTGTGTGTATGAGTAACAGATGCAGTTCGAGCAATCTGTCCAAACTGAACTTACCCTAAACTAGAAGAAGTCTACCATATGATTTAGCAAAGAGGTCGTATACTTATGGAGATCGTAACTCTATCGCTGCCTCCCTTATTTGGGAGGACAAAATTCGTAACAGACACTTCAAACTCAGATTTGGTCTTTGAAAGATGGATTATCCCTTTGGTCACTTTAGATAAACATGAGATTTCCACCCAGGCTCCAATTCTTGAGTGTTTGACCTTGCTGAGTTGAGATAAGATGACCTTAAGTTTGCCTTGGTACAGCATCACTTTGCAGACGAAGACGTCGGAAAAGCACGAGAGAAGAACGGAGTAGTGACGAGCTCTAGACAGGCTGAGTTCAGCTTTTCTGTGGAAGTCTGCAATATCCAGGGTTACTTGGCTGC